GAAATAATTTCCTTCATATTACATTTATTAAAATTTTACTCCCATCCCTGTAGACAATACTCGGTACTTGTACCATTTTAATACTTGAAAGACGATATTGAGACTAACTGTATTCTTGTTTTTGGTCCTGATTACTATATTTGTAGGTGTGTAAAAAGCTCTTGTCATGGGTTTTGGGATCAGATTGACCTTACGACCTTTTTCAATATCTTTAAGTGATTGCGCACTTGGGATAGCAGATGTGCTAGCTCTAGTTGGACTCGGCTGGTTCAGATCTTCCTGCTTGGGCTTCTTTTCTCATACTCTCTTCATTTTCCCTCTCAACTGTGTTTAGAACTCTTCATCACTCTCATATTCTTTTGAAGCTCCCTTTGACTTCGCACTAGAAACACTAGGTTCCATGCGTTCTGGGGTAACTTCCCTTGGTTTTAAGGGAAGTATAATGCCTAAACAAGAGTTAAGAATGGGTGAATCTTGTGGGAGGTATTTGAGCATGAATCTTGAGAGAGGTCTAGCCTATAGAAATCTTCGCTTCAGAATCATTGGACGGTGATAGTTCATGATGATGAAAGGTGTCTTTGCAGCATCCACGGGTAAGGAATGTTCTGTTATTGCTCCTCGGGTGAACAGTGGTCAGAATTAAGGAAATATAACCGAGTTGATTGGTTTGCCCTTGGATTTCAACTGGTTCTTCTTATGTACAATGTTTAGAATCTCATATAAAAAATACCTCCATGTATATTATTGTGAGGATGTTCATGCTACCCGTTTTACATGTTAAACTCCTATTAAGATGTTGAATAGGACATTCACATGGGGGTAAAAATCGTCTTTTAATTTCACTAATGTTTGTAATTTCCTTATTATATCCAATAAAGTTTAGGAATCTAACCACCTCATCTAAGGTTGGGAGTTCATCATATTTGGCTATTTTTAGTTATTTACGGTTAAGGATAATATAGATTTTTGAACCTTAGCACGGGAAACTCGAATGGTGTATTCCATGTCATTTGGAGCTTCAGTGGCCTAAATTATTCCACCTGCTTGAAGACTAAACTCGCAAGTGGTGTAATTGAGAAAATAAACTATATTCCTAGTAATGCTATAGTAATCATAAATTGAATTATTACTAAAATTAAACATAAATCCAATATGTTATACTTGAGAACAAGAAACTATATTCCTAGTAATTCTAGGTACATATAGACACTTGTTAAGTGTTAAAGTAAGATCATTTGGAAGCTTCATCATATGTTCCTTGAGCAACAACAACTACCTTAGCTCCATTTGGCTTGGTTTCATTTTCTCTTAAGGTAATCTTCTGAACACCATAGGGTTTGTTCAGATTTGTATTAATTGTGAATGCATCCGACTAAGGATTTTATTTTAGAAATAGTTTCTATTTAATGTAACCTAAAATTAATTTTCCGCTATGTTTTAATGGTTACAAAATCGATTTAAAACCCTAAACTCTTACATAGACAAACGATGCTTTAACAAAGCTCTCATCTATCTAGAAGGTCGTTAGTAGTATTTTGGCTGACGACTCTCAACAGTCTGAAGCTACTAAAGTTAGCCATCTCGAACCCAGGCATCCGAACCCCAAACCATCTCCTGCATGCACTCCCAAAAGACATTGTAGTGACACTGGGTGAAGCTCCAGAAACAACTACTGGAAATAGTGAAGATTCCAACTCCTCCTAAGTCCTCCAAATTAAAGACATTTTTTCAAGCCCCTTAGAAGTTATGAGAAAATATCAAGGCGATAAAGCTCATCTTCCTACCACCATAGACAATCCATCACATAATCCGACTTCTCATATTGATCCAATGAACATGTTACCATGTTTGCATGTCCCGATTCATGCACCTACCTCATCTCACACCCTCACTTTCATTGATCAACTTATCTAGTCATTACAAAGTCATTTACATGCTGTTTGGACTGCTAAGGATACATCAAAAAAGTTATTGGAGCAAACTTCAATCTCCAAGAAGAAATGGCTACAAACCTTGTTCAATGCTTTGTTACATCCTTATAACAACTACACTCCAAAATCAACACTCATTCTCTCATGATGCATTCATGATTCAACATACTTAGATTTTGTTGCATCGAGTCCCCTTCACTGTTGAAGATCGATTTATGATGATCCATTTGGAAATTCAACAAGCGTAGATTGATATATCTTTGTGAGTACTAAGAAACCGGCTTGGTAATGTACTTCCTTCTTCATCTATTGCTACTAAGGGGGATGAATCAGACTCAGATTCAAATCATCCCAATAGCTTGGATGAAGAAATAAAAATAAAGCCATCTTTGAGAGGGAGTCAAAAGAAAGACATCCGATTGAAGGGGAGCAGCGTAAGGAACAACATGCTGATGAAATTCCGATTCTTGATCTGAACTTAATTGACAAAGGAAAAACCAAGATGACTCTGGAAAAAGAATTGACAAATGGAAAAACTAAGAATGAAAGGTGATGCACTCCGAAAATCAGGATATTGAGTTGAACTCTCTCAAAGTATAACCCCTGGAAAAAAAAAGTTCCTTAGATGTATCCCGGAACATTTGATCCTTAAATCTATGTATTGTAGTTTTCATTTGCCTAGTTAAATGGAAGTTTGGGATATTTTAGTACTTTATATTTTTTGCAAAAATCTGTTTTATTTTCATGCATATGTAATCCGAAAAGAAAAGCCTAAAAAAATAAGAAAAACAGAGGAGAACAAAGAAAAGACGAAAAGAATCCGAAAAAACAAATCATTGAATCTGTGTTTAAAAGTTTTATATTTTAAGAGTTCCGTTATCGTTTTTCTTTCCAAGTATTTTTTTTTCCTGCATTATCTATCTATTTGTGTTATAACAAATAGGGGGATATTGTTGGTTTCAATCATTTGATTTGATGATTAAACAAATACATCCAACAGAACACTTAATTATAAATGTTTCTATGATTTTGTCTAAAATCCAATTCACAAATTTAGAATCAAACTTCATGACATTCATGTTTGTGGTCAGATGGTATCCGATATATGTTAGGATCTTAAATACTTATCAGGATCCTAAATACTTATCGGATCTGAATCCAATGGAATCCGAGAATATCAGAATCCAAAGTGTTTTATGGACCTGGTTCATCTTAAGGACCCAATCACTTTTCCGGTCCCAATGTGTTTTAGGATCCGATATAATGTAATCTTGCTAGATCCAAAATATATGTTATGTTTCGGAGAAAAAAATATAATACGTTTTTTTATCGTAAAAGCCTTATGATTTTATTCAGTAGTAGTACAAAACAAAATGTCTTCAACGAAAACGAAAACTAGTTGAAGGGAATCCAAAATCGATACCAAAACGGGTTACATTTTCATCTAGTCAATTGAAAACCACTACCGAATAAGTATAACAATTTGACAAATGTTGTTTTTGTCAAGTCTGTTTTGGAGTACAAACTTAACCAACAAGTAATTTTGTTAAATTTGTGCCATGAGTGTTAAAACATTGATTATATAAGACATATAAGAAAATTTTGGTCAGTCCTACATAGAATCAGGCTAGCCCTACTTAGGACCGTTCAAAAGGTACCAATTAGGACTTTCAGTTTTAAGTTTCAACTACATTATTTTAAGCATTAAACCAGTTCCTTAACAATCGGTTATTGTGATTGTGCCAAAAGCTCAAGACTAATTACTAATTAGTAGGGATGAGATCGGTACCGGACTCGTAGCGAACCGGTTGGTACCGATTTTTAGTGGGACTAAAACTAGGACCGAAGACCTAACCGTATGTACTAGTTCAGTATTGGTTCGGTTTCGGTTTCAGGACAGGAAGATTCGGTACTAGGACCACTTGAGACCGAAAAATGAAAGTGGACTAAGAAATAATCAAATGTTTATAGTATTCAACTCCGTAAAAAAACACCACAATAAACTTATAATTAATATTAAGATTATTATATTATTAACCAATAATTAACTAAAAAATAATTACTTGATTTATGGAGGAACCGATCTTTTTTATGGTGATAGGGTCGATTTTTTGATCAAAGCAATAGTTATGGAGAACGTATGGTTTGTTTCAGAGAAGATATGGATTAGTTTAAAAAAAATAGAGAGAGAATTTCAATAGTCATGTGTTCAATGCAATTCCGGTTCGGTTCGGTTTTTTTTGGGAAATTCTTGGTACTGAGAAGCGAAAAAACGAATCACGATTTTTTTGTAAAATTGGAACCGATAACCGAACCGATTACATGCATTTGATTCGGTTTGTGTCCGATTTCATTTTGATACCTATTTGGTTATGGAATATGGTACTTGAGTCTCAACCCTACTAATTAGGACGTGTCATGGGCTCAATTTTGAACATCTTTATTCATGGGGGACAAAAATGTCTTTTTGAACATCAAAAACCATAAAAAGAGAAAAGTTGTAGTTCTTTTTTACTTGTACTAACCGTTTGGGCTAAAAAATATGCTAGTTAGGGGTTGTTTGTTTACCTTTTAATAGTTTTATTATAAGTCAACATCTGAATCGTTAAGAGGTAGATCTTCTTTGGCAAAAATAAAGTTTGTCTCTTAATGGTTCTAAAACCCTCTGAATGAGTTTGTATCCTGGACCTCCTTTAACCACTAAGCGCTCTAATTTCATTGTAAACAATTACCAAACAATTATATTACATTTTGCACGATATGATGAAAGTCTCGTAATCATTCTGACCACTTAATCATTTTACACCAAACCATTCAGCAACTGTCAACCAACCCCTTAGTCTTTTTAGACGGGACCAAGGCTAGATTTGGCCCCGTCACAAAGTCCGATTCTTGCTCATGTGGTCCCATGTCGGTCTTGAACTCTAGTATGGGTTTTGCATCTTTACACCGAAAGAAAAAACCGATAAGAGACTATTGAAGATACAGTAATCAATCATCTTTTTACGTTGTTATATGTAATTAAATATTCGAAAATATTATCCCAAATAAACATGAATAATTCATCATACAAAATCAAAATTACATTTTATTACAAAAATCAAAAGACTAGATAAAAAAAAAGTACCAAGTGTTATGAACATACATGATTAAAGTTATGTTTTATTATGAAAATCAAAGACTATACCAAAAATTGGATCACCTTAAGTAGTACTAATCAATTGATCTCGAGTTTCATGATCGCGGGCGGTGTTGGGTTAAAACTCTGATCGTCGGTCCAATTTGTCTCGCCCCAATGCTTCAGCATCTCTTTCCACGAACACAAATTATCGATGCATTTCTTCAATCTCCGGTCTTTTATCTTCACTTTCCAATGCCTGTCGCTAAACCCTGCTTTCTCTGCTTCCCGTCGATCCCACTCCAGTTGTGCTTTTTGCTTCGATTCCAAGAAGCAGAACTGATGCAACTGAGTGGGCATTGCATCGTGCACCTTCCACCACTGCTCGTGAGCCACATCACTCGCAAACTCTCGAAATATATCCGAGTTCCAATTGCAGTCGTAATCGCGAAAGCACAACCACGGTTTTAGCCCGAGGTAATGGAGAACGTAAAGCACTGGTGGGTCCGCTCCGAAAAGCCGAGTCTTTTTCTCTTTCATTTCATCGTCATCGCCGATCCAGAAGTTCTTCAGGAAATTTATGGTTTTCGGAATGCGATGCCACCACGTGAAGATCTCGTTTAGGTACCCCTGATCACCTCCGTTATAGGATGTTATCTCGTTGATATGATCCATCAAAAGCTTAAACGTACAATTCGATGGCTCGATGACCATCACACCGGAGTTGAATAGCGTCCCATTGTTTCCGGTGGCCGAGATCTCCGACATCCCGAATAAGAAATCGATGTTTCTTAAGATGAGCATATCCGCATCGATGAAGATGATCTTTTTGTAGTCCGTCAATTGCCACAGACGAAACTTGCTATAATTCCATTCGTTGTATGCGTTTTTCTCCGCTTTCGGGTTTCGTATCCTTTGGATTGTGCGAATCTTCCATCCAGCCAACTCGAGCCCACTTCTATGGTAATCACTAATCGTCTCGTCTACAAGTATCACAAGATCTCGAGTCGAACCCGACATCCGAATGCTTTGTGCCGCAGCAATTGCGCCGCAAACGTAAACATGAGCCGAATGTAGGATTGTCACATACGCTTCCCGTCGAACATTCCCGATATACTCTCCCTCTTTTTCCGCAAACATACATTAGTTAGAGGTGACAATTTCTAACAATAATATGTCAATATAACAAAATCGGGGTCATAGGACCCAAAAAGTTCTAAGTGTTCTGATAGTCTGTTTTATAAGACTTACATTTATAAGACCAAACACATGTGTATCCAATATAAAAGTGTTACAGTCAGTTGATATGACGGTTTTAAGTGTTTTAACAAGTTTTCTATTTGAAATAAGAAGACATTAATTTTTTATATGATATTATTTGAAAAAATATACTATGAAAACAATTATGCTATAAAAATGTGTTGACAAGACACAATCAAAAGTGTCTTATAAAAAATTGATGTGACATTTTATTTCTAAAGTGTTCTAATAATCTGATTTATATGACATTTTATTTCAAAATGTGTTCATAAGACACATTTTTCAAAAGTGTCCTAAGAAAATTGTTAAGAAGCCCAAACCCATCATATAATCTTACTTTAACACTATTACATAGAACAAACAATTGTTTTGTCATATAAACTTAAGTCTTATAAAGTAGTGTATTAGAACACTTCGATAATTTGGCATTCTTTAAACCCGATTTTGTTATGATACGCAAGTTTATATTGATTTTGAACGTTAAAGTTGTTACGTTACGAACCAAACTAACCTCGAGGTTTAAAAGGCAATGCAAGTTCACAAGATCCAACTGGGAGTTGAATCTTTTCTCTCAAAACCTTCAAATTTGGTTCATACAACCAAGCATTCCCCCGGCGAACCACTAGTTCCGTACAGGGAAACAGATTCGGAAGAGGGAAACAATTGGTGACGAAAAGCAGGTGTACCGGGAAGTTTCCTCTTACCGTTGCCGCCAGTCCGGCAGCGGCAAGCTGCAAATGGAGCCTGGCGACATCTCTCGACCAGTTTCCCTCATTTCGACATGGAAGCTTCACCACAACAAGATCGAGCCTTTTCCGTGGTACTTCAATCTTTGGGAAGTTTGGACAACTTGGAACTTCCTCTTCCTGTTCTTCATCGATCCATTCAGGATACAACGAATCCCATGTGACGTTTTTATCGACAGGATCAAGATGAAGATGAACGATATGATCGTTTTCGTTAGGAGGTGTAACTAAAATCTTTCTCTTCCAATCACTGATTTCGGTCTTGTTAAAGTTCAAGAATCCGATCCCGTGAATCATGCGGTTTTTGCCGGATAAATTCTCGATAACACTCGATATATCTTGCCAATTGATTTCTAAACACGACTCGTATCTTTGATCTTCTCCTCCACCCAATTTCCACCTGTTCATCACAAATCATCAAAACAAGTTGCAAGCATCCACAATTGGTTATTGGTCAAGAGGTTTTTCAATAGATTTTTGGTGAGAGCTTGTAACTGTATGATTGCTTTTCTTTTTGGAGGTTTTTGTTGTTGAGATATTGAACTTGTTAATATATTTAAATTAATAAATTTGTATATATTTGCCTTCAACTTTTACGGATTTATTGAAAACCTAAGTTTTATAAATTTTAATCTCATCCCATCCTCATAAATTGTACTTGATACGGGAATTGGTTCGGTGCATCCCATTACTGTTAATGTTCAATTATGATTGATCAAATGATGGAGATCCTTTTGTACTTTTCTCATTTTTAATTACCATTCTTACCGGAATCCGACCCTATATATAAAATCATACTAATATAGTTTAGTAATATAGTTAATGTAAATTAAACTAATAATATATTTTCTCGATATTAATTAATAAAGAGACTTACAAGATTTGAAAAAGCAGTTAAAAAGATTTTGTTATAACGTCTATATGTTGAGATTTTTGAGTTGTCTATTAAAATGACATGAAAAAGTTTGATAATTCTCTCAGTGTAAGTAATACACACGTACCATTATTATAATTGCTCTAGTTACAGATCAATAATGGAGTTTAATTGAACATGAAATCGTAAATTAGGTTAGAGTTAAGAGTACCTTGAAACAACATGGGAGATGTAGGTGTAATCGTGGCGATGATTGGAGAGGGAGCAGGTGATGATGATGAGGGTTGCAAGCACGACGACGAGTAGCATTGGTTTCGACGGTCTATTTTTACAGTTGTTGGTTTTATCATGTAATGTGATATGCATCGGCTTCTCACCGTCCTCCAGTTTGCTCCTTTGGAACCTTCTTTTGCATATTTCGTCACTGATAACATCGTTTTTCGGTAATAAACAAAAACATAATTAATTAAGTCTACAAACAAATCATGGTGATAGCTATTTTTGTATTTTTAACCGTTGTATTGCATCATAATTTATTGATTGAACTAGTTGTAATTGTTTTGTAATACTAAAAACGATCAAAAAATTCGTTCTAAATAAATAAATATTAAAATGTAATATTATTTCGTGTCAAAATATATATCTTAAAATTTGGATTAACCTCAAATATGTTATTAATTATCGTATGCATTTCACTGTTTATTTATAGTTTTTGTGATTATATTTATTAATTGTTTTTGAAGTTAAATAAAAAATAAAAAAACATTGACAGATTAAACCAACCAAACATTGACAAATGGTGAATTATGGTCGAGTTTTAGTTGTTCTACATTGATGAAGAGTTGAAAGATTTGAACAGAGTGAAGTGTATAAGAAAGGTGAATTGGATGCCTATGTATCAAATCATGTGGTTTGCCGTATAGGATTGTCTTATTTTGAATGACATCTTTGAAATCTATAATCTTGGTTGGAATGAAAACCATTCAAAAGGATAAAAATTATTGTGCAAATATAAAAGTAAAACCAAGGATGGAGACTTGGCAACATGAGGTTGAATGTTCCTCAAATCTAAACTAAGGTTACTTTCATCATCTCATATTGATAAAAAGATGATAGTTTGAAAGAAGATGATGGATGTATAAAAACATGATGGAGCTTTAAAATCTATAACTATAATTAAAATCAAAACCACCTAATTGGTAAAACTGTGTGCAAAACGAATGCAAATGATACATTTTTTTCTTTAACAAGAATTGTGATTACTGCAGTACTTATAATAACAAATGTACTTTAAATATCTATTATATCACTTATATATACATAGAATGAAAGTGTTGATTTAAGGATGTGCTTTCATCTGATGTTAGTATTTTCCAAATCGTGATTTATAGTATTGGACGAGACGTTATAAATATAAAAACGATTCCGAGTTTTCAGACACATCGCACTTCTGCAGGGTCGAAGTTTTTACATTTTTTCTTAAATTGAATTTTGATCACCGTACAACACATGTGTCGAACACTAGTACACATATAAACAAAAATACTTTTATATTTAATCACATGAATAACATTATTATCGATCAGAGGACCAGTCATAATTGTTGTTGCTCAAGTTCATCATATATAATAAGTATTTCGATTAAAATAATTAATATAATTGTAAGGGTTAAAGATATAATTAAAAAAAAAATGATTTATATTAATTACTTATGGAAATGGTCAAATTGACCACACCAAGAATGAAATATCCATTCACCAACCTCTTTTGGGTCGATGCTTCAACTCAACTCATTTCTTAAATCACCTACCAATCTATATCCACAAATATTTCAAAAGCAAAAACAATGGTTTTCATGCTTGTTTATTTATATTAATTTTTTTATTAAATCATCAAAAACATTATATATATATATATATCTTCTAACTAGAAGGGTACTTGTACAATGCAATGAAATACGTCTTCATTTTTTAATGTTTCATTTTATTTTTTGTCTCTTTTGATATAATACGGTTTATGTGGTTTTGAGAAAGATAATATACACTTTTGAATAAAACTAAATTTGAAGATATCATAAAAATTTGAAAAAATATATCGATATTAATATCAAATTTACTATTCAAAAGTTCTCGTTTTTTTGTACAATTTCTTTAATTCAATTTTTTTTATTATACTTTAATTTAGGTTTAGTAGCGAATAATTTATTTTTGGCATTTTTATAAAGATAATGATTCTGTTAGAACTCAATAATTATCCTTATTATATTTTAGATTTTATATTTAAAATAAGAATTTTATCTTGTATTTGATTATGTTTATCTACAGTTAGTTACACGAACTCAAACATGATGCTTAATAAGTTGTACTTACGAACAATTTAGTTGTAATATTAAATTTTAAGTAATATACATCAAGAAGTAATACTTCATGTATAAAAGGTGGTTTTTAATATAGTATAAATAACTTATTATTGTAAGTATATTTATTTAAAATGCAAGAAACATAAAAATGTCGTTAAGTGTTTTCAAAAAAAAAAAAAAAACCAACGAGTCACCTTGAAAATGTCTAGGTCATTTGTCACTGATTTAAATTTCTCAACAACAATTTATCCACCAACTTTTATGACGGTTTTGTTACGAATTGCCCTTTTAATAACGGATTTCCAAAGAAAAATCCACTGATAAAAGTGTTCCATTTTGTCTTAATTGATCATTTTACGTACAATAATATTAATAAAAATTAATATATGATAAAAAAATTATATATAGTTTAAACCATCATCATAATACTTTATAGAAAATGGTCAAAATGACATCTCCAATGATGAACATCCGTTCACCAACCTTATTTAGGTACATGGCATGGCTTCAAGTCAAGACATTCCTTTCATTCACCAACCAAACTTTTTCCATTCAATATTAGAAAAAGGAACATTTAACTTGATGGTATTTCAAAATCTATCTTTTAAATATCTGTGTTATATTATAAAATATTTGATAAAAATTCTTAAAGACCATTTTTTATGTATGAAGTATTGTTTATTGATACATATTACTTAAAATTCAAGATTACAAGTAAATTGTGCGTAAATATAACTTATTAAAGCTTTATGTTTAAATTCGTGTAACTAACTGCATATATACATCACATTTTAAATATAAAAAGTCTTAAATATAATTAGAATAATCATTGAGTTCTAACAAAATATTTAATTATTATCTTTATAAAAAATTATATTATTAAATAAAAAATAAAAAAAAATGAATTAAAGAAATACACCAAAAAAAAATTAGATTGCTTGGTACCGATATCGTTTTTCAATTTTTTTTTATGATATATCTTCATTTTTATATTTTATTCAAAAGTAAAAACATAGTCGTTTTCCTCAAAACCACATAAAACCGACTGAGACAAAAGAAAAGAACTATTAAAATCGAGATGTATCTCGCTATATTATGCGGATACCCTTCTAGTGCCTTCAAATGTAATCGAGTTGTTATTTGATTACATTTTTGCTAAAGAAACATACTATGAACATTTTCTAAATCAAAAGGCACGATGTAGATTCAAGGAAAGGAAATTTAAGCATATAGATTGGAGAGTCTAGAGAGGAAGGTTTTACGGTTTTTCCCTTTCAATGTAGCTTCCCAAGCCTAAGTCAGAACTCGAAATACGCTACTCGATCAACAAGTACGAAAGACGTCATTATATCCGTCTTTGTTTTCATTGAATGCCCTTTTCGTATAAATTGAAATTTCACATTTTGTTATCAAAGGATGATAAAAAGTATAGGGTTTTAATCGAAAAGTAAGATTAGTAATCGAAGCATGAGCAAATTGGCCGTCTTCAAACCCTTAAATGATCACGACTTTGGCTTAAATAATATAATGTTACGCCAATTTTACTAAAAGGGTATGATGCCACACATTCTAGCACCCCCACTATATCGGTCTCACTACCGTCATGTGAGAGGTAGATCGTCGCATGTTAGGGGGACATGTATGTGATACCTAAGTCGAACCCCAAACCTTTCACTCATTCTGTTAGGAAGCCGACCTCCTTACGTTAATGAAGCATGAGGTTTGAAGTTCGAATCATAGAGGTGCTATTATCCCTTGTGTTGGATCATCAACATCTTTTTGGAAGAAGACATAAACCAACATGACTCCGAAAACAAAGGATAGCGAACCATGATATAAATGTCATGAAATAATACACATGATATAAGGATTCATGATAAATGGAAGACGAATGTTAAAAGAGATGATTCACAAGTGAATACAACCACCGAGAAACTGTTTCACAAGACGAATGAAAGGACTTACTTGGAATACGGTTGTCTAGTTTCCATGGCGTCGTTAGGCGGCAGTGGCAGGGATGATGGTGGCTGCAACCTACTACTTGACGAGTAGGAGAGTTTGGAAGATGAAATTGGTGGTACAAAATATAATAGTTGAAAAAGGAAGAGATGTATAGGATGGAAGAATGGGACAAGCCAACGTATATGATAAATATGTCAAATGGTGGTGGTAGTATCTTTACGTAAGCTGAGTTGGTGGGGGAGGGCATGGGGGGTGGAAAAGACACCACGAAAAGGAGATTATAACTTCTCTTGTAATATTGGACTCACTAACTTAGACCACAAGTCAAGCGATTTTTAGTCTTGTTTATCTATAACTCGTAAAGTTGCAACTCAAAAACAAGAAAAGATAAGTGCTGTTTTTTTGGTCAAATTATATATATATATATATATATATATATATATATATATAAAGTTTTAACATATGCAGTAGGGATTTGCAAATCTTCCGAATTCTAATTTCTTTCAATTTGAATTTAAAGACTAGGAATGACCTATTACTGGATAATTCATGGGTAGAGCCGAAGACGCGGACACAGGTGGTGCATGGTTGTCGTCAGCTCGTGCCGTAAGGTTTCAGCAGTTCTCCCACTTCCAGGTTTTCACATCGAGAATTATTTGCAGATGAAGAGACATAGTAATTTCTATTATATATATATATATATATATATATATATATAGAGGTTGGTTCAAATAGAAACCAACCATATGGTATAAACTATGGAAACCGATCTTGACCAATCACATTCTTTCTTCACTTTATGTTCAAATCTAAATTATAAATTAATGATAAGGGTAATTTGGTAATTCAACCTTTTTGTAACCCCCAATAATTAATTGGGAGTTACAAATCTTAAAAGATACATCTAATTGTTCATGAGATTTTTATGATTTCTTTATTATTTCGTGTTCATGGTATTCATTTCAATTGATTTTATACATATATTGAAATTGGTTGTCTAAGTGTACAAGATTTTCRTTTCGTTCAAGATACATGGAGAATCCTATTGTAAAAGAATGTCAGAATAATGAAGACGATAAACGCTTGCAGTCTATGTTCATATCTGCACACATGCACAACGATCCTTGATTTTGAAAATGTTCATATATGTGCATCTCTTGCAGTCTATGTTCATATCTACACACATGCACAACGATCCTTGATTTTGAAAATGTTCATATATGTGCATCTCTTGCAGTCTATGTTCATATATGTTCACCATATGAACAATTTGTTTTCATTGAAAGATACAATCGTTGTTCACACGAACCCGTGACGATGTCATACGGTATGACATTGAAAAACATCACACCATATGAACCTAGTGTTTACATTGTAAGACACAGATGCTGTTCACACGAACATAGGGCCGACATGTGAACATATATGAACATATGAACATAGTGTTTACATTGCAAGACACAGATGCTGTTCACACGAGCATAGGGCCGACATGTGAACATGAGTTGTGAATATGAGTTGTGAATATGTTCATAATCGATCGTAGGTTACAAATCGACTGGAGAATATCGGGTTCACGATGCGTGAGGATTTATTACCAAAATTACCCTGTGAACAATTGTTCATAAGCAGCCCAATTAATTTAATGATGAATTGATTATTTTTTAATACTCATTTAATAATGATCCTTTGACCAATTTACCCTTTGAACAATTGTTCATACACATATCAATTAATACATTAATTAAATTATTGTTTATTTAATCTCATTTAATAATAACCGTTTGATGATAAAATGAACGATCAAGATCGGTTCACATAGTTTGTACCATATGATTGGTTTCTATTTGAACCAGCCCCTATATATATATATATATATATATATATATATATCTTGGTTCAAATACTAATCAAGATTTTTGTGTTAACTTTGTTAACCAACCTCAACCAATCGTATTCCTTCTTTTATTTAGGTTCACATATAACTCATATATTAATGACAAGGGTAATTAAGTAATTTGTCATTTATGTAACTCACAAATCATTAATTGGGAGTTACAAATCTAAAAATCTCAATAATTGATGATTATGTAATATTGATATTTTTTTATACGTGTTCATGTTTTGTAATTTCGATTTATTCTATCCATAATGATATTGATTTTGTAATTGTCAAAGAATTTCCAATTGTAAAGATTTCGATATCGTCCGAGTAATATGGATAAACCTATTGGAAAACAGATTGACAACAATGAGAATGAAAAGGTTAAAATTGTCTACGACTACAATTGGAATTCGATATCGTCCGTCACTGAAATTCCATCGCAGATCCGTCACTGAAAATTCTGTCGCAGATCCGTCGCTGAATTTTCCGTCGCAGATCCGTCGCTGAAAGTTCCCTTGCAGATCCGTCGCTGAAACTTCCCTCGCAGATCCGTTGCTGAAAGTTCCCTCGCTGAATGTTCCGTCGCTGAATGTTCCGTCGCAGATCCCTCGCTGATCCGTCGCTAAATACTTTTCTCGCTGATTCGTCGCTGATATCCGTCGCTGATCCGTCGCTGATAGCATTACCTATGATTGTTTGACCGACGGAGTATTAGCGACGGATTGCCCTTTCAGCGACAGATTTGCGAGGGATTTTTTCCCTCGCTGATACTCTGCATTTTTGTAGTGTATGTAATTGTTACAGAATTGTTCACAAGTGTTCATATTGTGTTCATATGTACACTACCTGCATATCTCAAAATTGACTTGCTCCTGAATGTGTTCATAATGAAAGAATTATTGTTCACAAACTGTTCATATTGTGTTCATACTTGTATTTTTATTTATTTACTTTCGTGTAGCAACTATTCTTATTATATTCATATTGTGTTCATAAATGCTATACAGTCCAAGTTCATATATAAGTCAATTTTTAATAATGAGATTTTTTGATTTTGTAACTCCCAATTAATGATATGGAAGTTACATAAATTTTTTTTTAACTAAATACCCTTTTCCTCTTTGTTCACATATGTTCTTTGAAATTATAAATTTAAAAATCTAATTTTTTATCATGATTAATCACAACCCTTTATTGTAAGAATCAATGGTCAAGATTGGTTAACAAAGTTAACACAATAATATTGGTTAACATTTGAATCAACCCATATATATATATATTTTGTTAGATTCTTATTTTGAGTAAGTGTAATATGCTTTTGAAAACCATATCTAAGAATTTATATCATTAAAAGTTTATGTTCAAGTGTTTATAATTACTTTAGAAAATGTAATTTAAAAACCATTAATTAATTATAATTTAATTATACTTGCGTATAGCATGGACCGACTTCAGGGTTGCATGCACTTATTTAATTTATTTTTGTTAATAGAATGTTTCTTTGGGATATAAAAGGTATACCTATTAAATTTTGAGAAACGTTTTGGAATATAAGAATTAGCATACAAGAAATATCATCCAAATTAATCAAAAACCGAAAAAGTCCCTCAAAGTCAACAAGAAAACATTTTTTTTTCAAAATCAACTAAAACTTAAAAATCCTTTAAAATCAGTAAGGAACTCCAAGAATCTTTTGAAACGGTATAATTTAGTGAAAAACTCGTCGGACGATTTTATGAGCTTTTGATCCACCTTAACAATATATACTCATTGGGTAAAAATCCTAGATGTGTCTGTTTTTATATCATGTTAGTAACACTATCATAACAATATTAAATGCTAAAATATGCATTTTCAATCATAGAATAGGTTTTCATCAAAAGCCGTCTTTTTTTAATAGAGAAATTGGTTCAAACGACCATTTTCCTTATCTAAATTAGTTTTCTAACAATTTCTCTCGCAAAATGTTATTAATTCCGCAATATCTAGGTATGCAATAGCTAAAAGGCAAAAAAAGTCAAATTCAACCAATTTACTGTTGCAATTGCGTTCTTAGCCGTCGTAATTGCAAATATGTGCTGAACTTATATTCTTTTTTGGCCTTTAACTATTGCCGACCTGGATATTGTGGAAATAGTGACCTTTGGTCAACTCTAAAGAGAAATAGTTAGAAGACCAATTTGGATGAGAGAAATTGTCATTTAAGTCGATGAATCTTTCTATATATGAATTTGCCATTTTTTTATTTAAATTTATTTACTAAAAATGTTTAAATTAGTACAACTACAATGGTACTCGCGAAATGCAGCATGATACATATCGATTTTAATTTTTTATTTTATTTTGTCCGATGTCAATGTTATAATATGGTGTTATGTGATTTTGAGAAAATGATAATGTTTTTATTTTTGAATAAAATATAAACTTGAAGATATTATGATTTAAAAAAAATGCATATTGATATTAATATTAAATTAACTATTTAAAAGTTTTTGTTTTTTTTTTTTTTGTAATTTCTTTAGTTCAGTTTTTTTATTATAAATTTGGTTTAGATT